TTCCACTGGAATAGCATTGGAATCCTAGCTTCAACCGAAAGCATTTGGCAGTTGGCTATGACTGGGCTTATGAAAGTCTTTTTACAGAATGATATTGATATACGGTACCTGCGAACTCTGAGCCCTGGCCATGTTTTAGTTACAGAGAGAGAGGAATATAATAGTATCCTATCGCGCGCAAAAGAGACCGCAAGAAGTGAGTAGGATACTGATTGTTAAGGGTTTGAACCCAGGGGCCATGTCATAAGTAGGTAAAATATGATGAGTACAGTCCCCATAAATCAGTGGGGCTGTTGCTGGCTATGACAGACTTTTCAAAAATCCATTCTGTAGTCCTTCACAGGAAAGTACGGGCAATTGGTGACTTCTGAAGAGTTCAAAACGTCAGTCACTGAGCATGTCAACAGCAATAGTTCGCTCGGAAGATCATGTTATTTTATACCTATCTTGTGTGAAATACACTGGTTTTTTTTTCTTTTTTTTTGCGGATGACAATGTCAGTATTCATTATGCTGTTTTCTTTTTGGGTCTGCCTTTGCTCCTAAGTATATTTTGCGGACAAGGATCTCACAAAAATAAATAAAATGGCATATATCGAGTGAAATTTACCAATTTTTTATTAGTAGAAATATCTCAATTCCATTTATCGGTGTACCGATAAATAACTACTAATCTTTTGCTACTAAATTGGTATGTTCTATATCAGTTTCCATTTTTTTGGCTCTTTCCATACGCTACTATTATATTCCTTTTGACTTGCTTGTCTAGGCTGGTAACTAAGATATATACTGAGATTAGAGACCTCCAGTAGTTCGTAGGCAATAAGCTGCAACTGGTTTTATCAGACTGACCGTAAGATACATTTCGTATTTCCTTGCATTTCAGTTTTTGTAATTCTTTGTTACGGAGGTGATATGCGTGCTCTGATGCTACAAGCTCTGGATTTTGGAATGTTGAACGGTGACTACGCATTCTTAACCGTCAACTTGTTACCTTCTGCTGCCATTGGAAATAACACGTTTATGGGAAATGACGGACGCGACGCTGAGGCGGCGTTAGCGTTTCGTGGAATACTGAGCATCCACGTGCGTGAGCCCACCACGACCCTGTGGCAGTCATTTAAAGAAGAAGTCAGGGAAAAAATGAACGCTTTTCCGTTTTACATAAAACTAGATGACAGTGAACAGGTAATGCAGCACTCCTTCCTTTGATATCGCTTACTTTCATTACAAAAATGTATGTGAAGTAAGAGAGATGGGATTGTCATGTTGCGAGCATGCGCAATAGGCTATTTCCGAGTAGCCTCAAGCCTCTGTTTCAGACCGAGGCTGAGTGCGAAGCTATTGATTTGAAAATAACTTTTTTTATTTTCATACAAATAAAACTCATCTATAATTAGTGAGAGAAAGTGAGAGTTTTTGGAACCCGGAAATAGCCCACTGCACCCTAAAGACACAGAGCGGTCGCAATGTTTGTTAATCAAGAAATTTGGGGGCAGTTTTCAGAAATTTATCCTAATCATTTTAATTCGTTATCAGGTTGAGGTGTACGCTGGAGCGATTTACGATGCTATCTATTTGTATGCCAACGCTCTGAATGAAACTCTTGCGGCAGGGGGCAGTAAAAAGGACGGCCGAGCAATTGTACAGAGAATGTTGAACAGAGAGTTTGAAGGTAAGGAATGTTTTTTGCGCGTGTGAGAAGTTTGGTTACCTCGTCTCTTCTCCATTCTCCGCACGGCTTCGCAGCTCCTGCGCCAAAGCTTCGCGCACGCTAACAATCCCGACGGCTGCACAGGCTACAGTTAATGATAATGCTTTGTTTATGGTGAAAATGTACTAGTCTCTCTAGGTTGTTTACTCCACTCAAATCAACTGAAACCCTAATACGTAAACCTAGCCCCCGAAAGCTTTCTTGGCTAGAACAGCTTGCGTTGCAGTTGGCCCACGTATCGAGTAAACTCACTATTGGTATAGTGCGTCTTTATACGGTATACAGAGAGTCTGCTGCGCGACGCATGCTAGGCTAGAGTGCTCTTTCTGACACTTGGGAGTCGAGAAAGGAGAAACAAGGGCGTTTTTCTGTATCCGAGTCAAGAAGTTAGCTATGACTGGATCGGTCGTTTGTGTTCCTGTCCTGGGTCCCTGATTACTGAGCTTACGCAAGAAGACGAAAGAAAGAAGGGGGTGAAGAGGAGGGTGTGAGACAAACGTGACAGGGTTAACTTGCGAGTTTTTGTCGTGATCTTCACTTAGCCTTACTGTGTTCTGGTTTTCTACAAAAAGATCTGTCTAAAGCAAGGTGAAGTTATTGTCACGCTTGTCACGAACGTTTTCCCGTCTTCTTTTCATCCGCCGTCCTTTTGCACAAGTTCACTTATCAGGTGACTTATATCAGCATCCTAAGGATCGAGGACTTGAGTATTGAGAATTGAAAGCTCTGAACGTAAAATCTGTTTGCTTTCACCTCAGGAGCCTCCGGTCTGGTTCGTATGGACAGTTCTGGTGACAGAGAACCAGACTATTCTCTTAAATATTACGTAAATGGAAGTTTTCAAGGTATTGCTGATTACAATTATTCAACAGGAGGATTCAATCTTAGAGGTGAGCTTTATTCTGTGGACATTTTTCTCCTCAGTCCTCAGAGGCCTCTTTTTCTCGTCGGGAGNGGGCGTTTTTCTGTATCCGAGTCAAGAAGTTAGCTATGACTGGATCGGTCGTTTGTGTTCCTGTCCTGGGTCCCTGATTACTGAGCTTACGCAAGAAGACGAAAGAAAGAAGGGGGTGAAGAGGAGGGTGTGAGACAAACGTGACAGGGTTAACTTGCGAGTTTTTGTCGTGATCTTCACTTAGCCTTACTGTGTTCTGGTTTTCTACAAAAAGATCTGTCTAAAGCAAGGTGAAGTTATTGTCACGCTTGTCACGAACGTTTTCCCGTCTTCTTTTCATCCGCCGTCCTTTTGCACAAGTTCACTTATCAGGTGACTTATATCAGCATCCTAAGGATCGAGGACTTGAGTATTGAGAATTGAAAGCTCTGAACGTAAAATCTGTTTGCTTTCACCTCAGGAGCCTCCGGTCTGGTTCGTATGGACAGTTCTGGTGACAGAGAACCAGACTATTCTCTTAAATATTACGTAAATGGAAGTTTTCAAGGTATTGCTGATTACAATTATTCAACAGGAGGATTCAATCTTAGAGGTGAGCTTTATTCTGTGGACATTTTTCTCCTCAGTCCTCAGAGGCCTCTTTTTCTCGTCGGGAGGCTGGAGAGAGGAATAAAGAAAGCGAGCGGGGGACGATGGGAAGGGGATTTTTATCGAAATCCCCCGTGGGGCCCTCTGCGGAGGAGAGAGTGTGAGTATTGATTACTGAGGAATTGTTCTAACGGTAAAACACGTCTTGCATTTCATCGGGTTTGAGATGCTCTAAACAACTAAACATATTTTTTGGCAATTTAAACTGCAAACGCCTCGAATTCACACTGACGCTAATTAGACAATCGTACATTTCGTAGCCTGCGTGGCGGACGCAAAAAGGGGCGATAAAGGGAAAGAAAAAAGGCGAAGGGGAAAATAAAGACGGAGGGTCCCTTCTGTTGTACCTTATTGCTTGTCTTAGCTCAGCTCAGTCGTTTTAATTAATAACATGAATCATTATTGAACTTGCTGTGATGACAAATTTAAATATCTCCAGATGTAAGGGTGATTTGGGCCGGAGGTCGTACCACCCCTCCCTTGGATAAACCAAAATGCGGCTGGGAGAATGAACTCTGTGTCGAGCAAGAAAAGAAAGGTGAGACTGACGATATAGCGATAAACCGAGAAGGGAACTGGGTCGAGTAAGCTTTCGCAAAGACGTCTGGGGCAAAAGAACGACCAATAGAGAGGGGAAGTGTGACGTCACGTTACCCTGGTACCAAAATTTCTGGAATCGCAACAATAGGAAGCTTTGGCAACGACAACGGCGACGGCACCGAAAACGGCAAAAACAACTTCGCACGTGCATCACTCTTTTTTTCACATTTCTTTGCCATCGTTGCACGACCGCGACATGAAACTTTATCATTTCACGCGCCCGCTTTATGGAGTGGGTGAACGAACCACAAAAATTTTCTCTTTCTTTTCAGTAAACTTAGATAAAGTCCTTTCGGGTTCAACCCCAGAAAATTTCGCCAACATTTGTCAAATTAAAGTTTGAAACAGTTTGGGTTTGTTGTCATCCAGAAATTTTGCTACCATGACAACGTGACGGAACGACTTCTCCTCTCTATAGCTGATCGGCGTGTCCCCAATAACGATCCCAGAAACAATTGCGGGACACATTTCGGCTCCAGTCCACTTCTCGTATCAGTCGTTTCTATAGTAACGAACTTGTTTTTTTTCATTGCTTTTAATAAACTTACAATACGATTTCAGATTCCTGTGATCGCCTGCCAGTGGTTGACATAACTATAGTCATTTTGATGATGTTTACTGATCAGTTGTTCCATTTTTTCTAGCGGCCAGATTTGTAAACGTTGTTATAGGAGCTTCCACGGCTGGTGTTGTTGTGCTAGCGTTCATGTTCTTTATCATCATCAGGTAATTCCTCTACCCTACTTACTGAACAGAGTATTTACTCCTATAGAAACCGAAGCGTTTTGTGTCTGCTTTTTTGAGCTTACTTATTTACCAGCTGAACTGGGCAAAGACCTGCCCAATGTGGATGGGCACTATCTTGACAAGGAGCCCTCCCACAACCCACAATCAATGGAAGATAAAAAGTGTGTGTGTGGGTGGGTGGGCGTGGATGGGGGGGGGGGGGGGGGGGGGGGGAACTTTTGCAACGAGTTGTTTTTTCACATTCAAGTGGAAAGAAAATCACCCCTTTGTACTGTTATTTCGTGTTGTGGGGTGCGGGGACAAACAAGGCTATGGGGGAGGGGGAGAGAATCTGAAGAAAGCGCGGCCGCCAAGAGCAACAAAGGAGAAAGAAAAGGAGGGGTGGGGGGGGGGGGGGGGGGGGGGGGGGGGGGGGGGGGGGGGGGCGGGGGTGGGAATCTTTGCAAGAGATTGTTACTTCAAATTCAAGTGGAAAATCAATCTCCCCGGGGATCTCCCCTACTATGCTTATGTTAGTATTATTAGGGTGTGTTCGGGTCTTTTCATCCATGTGAACTTCAAGTTTCCCTTGTGTAAATATCAAAGAAATGGCTTTGTTCTCACGAGGCGAAAAACAGGTACACAATGCCTTTTACCAGTTTTCAAAGAAAAATGTAAACTTGAAATTTTGTTTCACTTCTTTTACATTTCCCAGAAAGCTCCGATATGAGACAGACTTAGCCGAGAACATGACGTGGAAGATCAAATATGAAGATCTGAGTATCAAAGGACAAGAACAGCAGGAAGCAAAGCCCGTGGGAATGCTGGCAATTTTTAACAGAGCCACTGGATCAGGACCTACCGGCCATTCCATGGTAGGGGGAACCACATAAACAGCATAACGTTGACAGACTGTAGGACTTTTAAAAAATGTGTGCAATATAAATGCCTGCGAATTCACAGCAGATTTTTTAGCAACAGTTGAATTCAGATTAGGGATTATCACAGGGAGGAGGATCTCCGTTACCTAAGCTATAAACGGATGTGCAATGCCAAAGGGTGTGGTTTTCGACTTCTTTTGGTTCCAAATTGGGTGTGTATTTTGCCTGAAATAGGGTTCGGTTTTGTGCCCTTTTGAGCCACGTTCTGGAATAGCGTAATTTTTTATTATTTATCTCTTAGTGAGAACAGCAACCCTGCAGGTCTGAAATAGCGTCAAGGAAAATTACATATTTAGGTGTGAAATAGGGTGAAGTTTTCAGAAGGCATGCCGCACATTCCACAGGAATTTCCAAGGAGTTCCACCCAGGGGAGGGTTACTGTGTGGTATGTCTGAAAGTTTTGTGGGATCTGCTTATCGCGATTTTCACGATATTCCCAACCATTCGCGAAAATTAGAAATATCATATCCCGCGGAAATTTACTGTTGTCGAAAAAAGGTGGAAGATAGATAAAAATCTCCAAGAAGATTCAGCCAACTTAGATTTTGCAAACAGTCACTTTAATGGAAAATGTTATGAGGATCTTATAATTACATTTTTATAGACGGTTAGTCCATCGAACACACAGCAAGGTCAGATAGTACGTCAGAGTGAAGCCAACAGTTCGACACAATCCCAACCTGATGACAGCACACGGCAAGTTTACACTGTTATTGGAGATTATCAGGTTAGTGGTGAGCAGTTCACACATAAGACACGAATCATTGAAAAGACTGGAGAGATACTTGGATAGATGAATCTGGAAAGGATCTCGAGAAAGAGATGAAGAAGAAAAGAGCTCGCTGCATGTAAGATAGTATTTCAGTCTAAACTCATCCCGACTGCCTGCATCATTTGCAGTTGTTGTTATTTGCCTTTGTCTTCATGAGTCCCCGTTGATTTGAGGGTCTTGATTCCTTGCGCGCCATAAAACAACCGTGTAACCTCGCAACCTCGTACCTGGATCTCTCCTCTTCAGATCCTTTGGAGTGCGCAACGGGCTGGGTACGAGGTTGGTGCCCTCTGTCTTGAAAGCTTGTAAGACAAGCCTACTTACAGCCTTTGCAATGGCCTGTATGCCTTCTGTTTTGTTCCTCGGTGTTTCACCTTCTTATCCTTTAATTTCAGGGGCAACCAGTGGCTGTTGAACGTCTCAGAAAACGCAGTGTCCAACTGACGAGAGATGTTCTCATTGAGTTAAAACAGGTAACTATTTCCTTTCGTCATTGACACCAGCTTCGTTTCCAGGGTATCTTCAGGGAATAGTTGTGCGAAAGAACCCTGGGGACGAGATTGTCTACGCTGCCCAAGCCACGTTCTAAATAAGGCGCCTGAAATCATCCAGATGCGCAGAGTGTCGAAGAAAGCTAACCTATCCCACAAAACCACGTGCTCTCCAGTGGTGGAACAAAGAGAAGAGACAGTTTCGAAGCCATGTTTGTCTTGACTCAAAGAGTAAAATTATATCGCAAGTCAGAAGGTCACCAGTTGGTTTCTTCCCACCGTCTCCCCTCCCCTCTCTCCCTCCGTCCTTCCAGTTCCTATTTCCTTTTTTCCTATTTTTTAATTTGTTGATCATTTTACTTCCTCTCCGTTCATTTTGTGAAGGTGCGAGACTTGAGCCACGAGAACCTAAATCCGTTCATCGGTGCCTGTATCGAATCACCGAATATCCTTCTAGTGTGGTCCTACTGCAAGAAAGGAAGCCTGCAGGTCTGTTCATGTTTATGACAAAGTCTGGATAGAACTATCAAAAATGAGGAATTAGAAAGTGAGGATTCTCTTGTAGTAAAACACTAACGCCTTAGCGTCTTTAGTGCAGCATCTCTCTAAGTAAACATATCCCTTGGTCGACTAGCATTTAACAAGAACAAGTCATACTTCACGATCTAATACTCAACACAAACTGATTGCACTGTTGCTTGGTTCATGCTTTACAGGAAGTGTTGGCAAATGAAGAGAACAAGATTGATCATGCTTTCAAGTTGTCAATGTCTATTGACATAGCAGCGGTGAGTAAACACCAGGCCAAGTGATCAAACAAGAACTTGAGGTGACTAAACGGGTGAACAGTGTTTGACCAAACATCCCACAAAGAAAGTCTACGTTTTAGAGAAAACGTTGTAGGATTACCAGTGTTCGACGAGCCAGGCTTTTTGCCTGCCCCCAGGGGCTTTGTGATTGGTTGGGTATGAAGACCATGAGAGAGCATGGCCAAGTGGCTGAAATTTATCTTGGCCACCCTTATACTACTTTAGCTTTCATTTTAGTTGGGAAAAGGTGAATCACAACGTCACAACGGAGTGAACGGCGCAACGTTCCCCACTTGGTTTGCCTCATTATTCGTGCTGGCCTCCCTTGCCGCGTTTTCCAACCGAGAAGCCTAGTCCCAGGCTAGTGTGAAACTTTCGGAAAGCATGTTGCACTCTGTTGCACATCCCTATTTAATTTTCCCAGAATACCCATACCCCTCGAGATATACCTTAAAAGGAAACTTCCTTTGCAGGGCATGAAGTATCTACACAACAGTCCCGTCAAATTTCATGGTAATCTTACCTCTCGTCATTGTATGATTGACAATCACTGGGTAGTAAGTATTACAGACTGGGGGCTGAACAAATTTAAAGCGGGGCAAGAAAGGATCTACACGGACACCAACAAAACCAACGAGGGTATGTATGTGATTGACTATCGCCTGTGAACAAGTCAGGGGTCAAGTGGGTGTGGTCCTCTGAGGGGTTACGAGCCGTTTCGATAAAAGTTTATTCAGTCGATATGCAAACAGCTTCACGTCATTGGCTTAAAGAAAGAACAGTATTCACCCAAACTGTTTTTGTTTTTCAGGCGCAAACTATACTTGAGGTGAACGCAATTTTTGTGCAATCTTACAGCTTGAGTTTGTATCGAAACGACTTTGTATCGGAAGGACCGGTTTCCCCCCTAAGGATGGATGGGGATGCCGATAGGCAAAGTTTCGCTCCTGGGGCCTTCGTTGAAACGAAAATTAGAGTCATAGGTTTGACTTCGTCTACTCGATACGTGTTTTCTTGTTTATCAACTCCATCTAAATGGTAAATTAAGTTTGCTCCCATTAATAGGCGTTGTTTTGTTAATGGGAGCTCTGCATTAGTTATACATCATTGGATGTTGCACTCTAATGTAATTTTGGTCGACGTCTAACAGATCTGTTATGGACAGCGCCAGAACACATTGACTTCCACAAGGGCGAAAAGTCAGGGTTCTCACAAAAAGGTGACGTGTACAGCTATGGAATCATTCTTCAGGAAATCTCAACTCGATGCAAACCATTTTTGGATTGCAATCTGGACTGTAAAGGTAATCTAGCTATCATTACCCCTACCTCTAAACGTAAACCACTTATTGTCAAATGTATCTTACAATTGTGGCCGACGACTATTTTTGATTTTTTTGTGACATAAAACAATTGGACGCCAATACACACTCGCGTGACACCAATACACACGCGCGTGACTTTATTTTTTCAGAGATCATTCAGCGTGTTGTGGCCTATGAGGATCCTCCTTTTCGTCCAGACTTGACACGCGTGGATGTGAGGCCGGAATTTGTGGATCTGATCGTGGACTGCTGGTGTGATGATCCCGAGGAACGACCCCATTTTTTTCGGATTGTTGAGCGGCTCAAGAAGATAAGTGGCAGGTCAGTGGTATTGCAAGTCATTGTAGAGGTACTGGACGCTACATTGCCCATTATTAGGTTGTGCAGGAGACTGGGTCGGTGTTGTGTCGAATTGCACTTTGGGACTGTTTCAGCGGGAAGACTAATTTTGACCCACACGTACACCTTCGCGTACACCATTTTTTTTTAGAGGGGGGGGGGGGGGGGGGGGG